TCACAATGACGTCCAAGTTAAAAGCCACGATGCGAGAGGCAGCGCGACAAACTCAATCAGATTAAACTCCATCTAAATTTTGAGCCGTTTTTTTTTTTTCATTCTCCGAGTCGCGAATCTTCCCGCGAATATAATTCCGCTTCTTTCGTGGAACGCCTCCTTTTTTTTTCAATCGCCTTTCCCCCCGTTTAATAATTTCTTTGCTATTCAACCCACCCACTCTCAGGGTCTGGCTTTCTTCTATCCTTTCTCTCGTTCGCCGTTCCTCCATTATCCCCGGGTCCTTATTGACTTAATTAATCGATCTTGCAGAAATCCTCAGCCCCCAGGCTCTCTCCGATCCCTCTGCTCCTACGAGAGCCTCAACAACGACTCTCCACCGAGCCGGGATAAAGAATAAAATTGGCGCAGTTTCGCGTTCGGGCGACAGGATCGAATTCCCATATATAGATAGAGCCGACCACCACACGAGAGCTTTCTTTCTGACGAAGCGTACAACTCGCTGGCGAATCACGTGGATTGCGTGCGGCACGTATCATCCTACTCTCTCCTACGCGACAGATGACGGAGTATCGATGACGTCTAACGTCCTTCGAAATGAGACCTCCACTCAGGATGGAGATAGACCGAGGAAATCGGCCTCGATCGATCACACCCGGACATTCGATCGAACGACACTCGGACGTTCACGTGAGAATCACGACGTTTCATTCACCCGGGATCGTTCGATCGGCCTGCCGTTTCTCGCCACTTCTCGCGGATATCGCGTTCACGTGAGACCGCTCCTCTCTTCTCACACACCGGCAAGTTTGCCTTGTTACCGCGCGGTAATTGCGCAACGCGATACCCTGCAGCACGCCCTGCGATCGACACCCTTTCCCTCCTTGTCATTCAGGACTAACCACGACTTTACTCTGTCTACGGTAGCCTTCGCTACTGAATTCGGGACAACCGACGACGGCGACGAATCGGAGTAACAAGTTCGCGAACAAAGGAGACCTCGTTTCTTGCATCGATATGTGACGTATCTATTTTGTTTCTTTTTTTTTTTTTTTGGGCGTGGAGGAAAAGGTTGAAAAGTTAAAAAGAGATTTATCGTTGCTAGATCTTTGTGCAAGTTTATATTTTTGTGAAGAATTAAAGAGTAGCATAGAGCAGTAGAGAGATTCGATTCGTCTGATTGCAAGTACTATAACAAAAACTGTATTTCGAGTATTATATTTCGTATCATTGTAATTATGTATTAATGTTATTATATTTTTACGTATTTATACATTACGTGCATGAAATGCATGAAACATCCACAGTCTAGTTGCATTCTCTAAAATGAAAATGTCCCTTTCCTCGTGTACACTGAATCTTCTTATTAGTTCATGGAAAGAAATATCGCGGAAACATTTCGTGATCGAATGCTGACGAGTTTCAAAAGTATTTCAACTTTAATTTCATGAAAGACAGGGGATGGGGAGGGGGAAGCGAACGACAAAAGTAGGGCATAGAGCGTCTTTTCTTATCAGAATAAATTGAAGATAATCAATTTTCCATCGCCCCTTCCTAACGTAACTGCAAAAAAAAAAAGATATAATACGCAGTCCATCTTGAATCATTCATCCGTTTTCTCTGACATTTTTTTTCTCATCTCCAATCAATATGTTACGCATTTTATTTTACGAATATATATAACAAGAACGATGTGGAGTTCGCTTAATTTATGTGAAAATGAAACGAACGATTATTGCTCTCAGTCAGTATTACAATGTCGAACGCACGGAATAACAGACAGTTGACAAATTGAAGAGACGTTTCCATTTCTTGCAGCGATAGTTAGATTGCTGCAAAAGGCATACAGACACGTGCAAAAGGTGAAGATTCATTTAGATGGTTAAATGGAATTGCAAACGGATACCGAGGACAATTCGATATACCATTAATTACTTCGAATCCGCAGCAGAGCCTCAAACAAACAATTAAAGGCACGGTTTGAGAGACACGGAGCGCGAGAGAAGCAAAAGAAGATCGTTCGCAGTCGGCCAGTTTTTGTCGCGCGTTGGCCTATAATGGAAAAATTGCCGTGAATACCTTTATCCGCTTATCCCTTCGTTTACCAAGCTATAATCCAGTATAATAGGCGCACAGCATGCATCCTAACACGT